ATATATATATATATATATATATATATATATATGGTTTGATTTAACAAATTTTCTAGTATTTTTCTATTTTATACAAAGGGGACTTATGCATTATAATAATTAAATTTTTATGTTGTATAAATTGATATTTCCTACATCTAAAATTTCTCTGTTAAGATTTGAGGTTCCATTTTAAAATGTCAATCTTTATAAGAAGAGTAATCCAATTCTTTTTAAGTTGGTTTGTATTTTCATCTTTATTCGATGTGAAACTTTATTCCTTAATATATTCCCTCAAGATGGTGGCTCATTTTTTAGCAGACCTACTTGAAATCTATATGCTCACTTTTTGAATTTTAATCGGATCGATTAGTTCGTTTGAGTTTAATGAGCTCTGATACCATGTTAAGATTTAGAGTTCCATCTTAAAATGTCAACCTTATTAAGAGGAGTAACTCAATTCTTTTTAAGTTGGTTTATATTTTCATCTTTATTTAATATGAGACTTTATCCCTTAACATTCTCTATTCTCCTCTTTTTCTCTCTCTCTTCCTCTTCTTCTCTTTATCCACCCTCTTCCTCTTTCCTTCTATATCCCATTCTTGTTTGAATATGTTCTTCATCAATTAGTCTATATGACATTAAATGTCAAATTAAATGGGTCCTATATCCACAAAGAATGCCACCACATTCAATATTTTTTGGGGCGGGGAAACATGGCATTTATCGATCATTAGGATGCCCCGATGGAAATGTAGTAATTAAGTTGACGAAGACAAATCAATTTTTCTTTTCATTTATTCCTTAATATGATCATGCTTCCAGATTAGTGCCAGAATATGATTGAAAATTGTTCAAAGAAATATTTCTTATATTCTGCTTAATTGGCTTAAACTAGTTTTTGAATACATCTAAGTTTGTCACATTGTCACACTACATTATATTTCAGAATCCATTTCCATGTGTGTATGCTGAAATCATCTAAGAAATGTATGTAAATCATAAAGCCTGAAGAGTTCATTGGAAAGGTCCCCCAAGTTAGTATGTACATATAAGTTCTAGAATGGACTTAAAGGTAGTGCATATGGTTTTTCATAAGTTCCAGAATGGATTTTGAGTCAAAAAATTCGAAAGGTAGTGCATATGGTTTTTCATAAGTTCTAGAATGGATTTTGAGTCAAAAAATTTGAAAAGTATTGCATATGGTTTTTCATATAGACAGACAACACATTATGTCAATGTACTTTTTATTTGAAATTTTCATTACAAGATTTGATGATTTGTTAAGAAAGAATGACCTCTTCTTCTAAGTCACCAACATAATAAAAAAATATAGGTAAAATTCGGGATAAGTTGAGCTAGGCACACTTATGTATAACTATTGTTAGGTGGCAGTGAATCCTAATAACTACATGAATGAGCCTAAATTTGTGATGCATTTTGATTCATTTAACAATGAATCTGCGATATTTATTGTTGCTTGAATTATTGTTAAATATCGTGCACGATAGGCTGCAAAAATAATTGACAAGCTATTGCAAGATCCATTGTTAACTAATATACTTAGTCAGCCATCTTGATTGTGAGAGTAACCTCTTGGGGCCTATCGACATAGCTATTCGTTCAAAAGTTCAGTTAGCTCGTTTTGATCCATGTCATTTTATTTTTTGTGAGCTCATGCCTTATCGACCTTTGGTTGAGTGGCGACTTCAAGTTGCAGGGGCCAATTAGGTCTTGGTTTCTTATTCAAGTGGATCGAGTCTCCTCAATGTTTGGCTCATGCAACATGAAATTGGTATGTCTTATAGTACCATATTGATAATTAGACCAGCTTAGATATAATGCCGGTGTGTAAAAATTCGGTGTTAAACAATATAAATCATAACATAGAATTTTACTAACACAATATAGGTAATAGTTATATTTTTTCTAATTCCATAGAACATACATGAATCGTTGAATTTTGCTAACAAAATAATCAATTATCGCTCAGCAGAATGAATCTAAGGCCTTAGGCGAAGATTTTTTGAGGGGCCTAACATTTAAAAATATAGGTTTTGAGTGATAATCGAACAATTGAATCATATTTTTCAAATGTATTTTCATTGTAGAAGAATGTATGTACAAATTGGAGAATAATAATAATAATAATAATAATAATAATAATAATAATAATAATAATAATAATAATAAATTACGCTATAACAATTCAAGAAAAAAAATCAATTAAACATCATAAATTGATGAACAGCATCTCAAGAATCAAGATCGTATTCCATTTTAATTTTCAATTCCATCATGAATTTGCCAAAAAAATCAATATGATATAAAAAATCTTTTAATTCCAGTGAACGGTAGGCTAATTTTAGTTCTAATTCCTCGCTTGACTATGCCTAACCTGTAGTGTGTAGCAAAAAGAAAAGAAAATCAAAAATTAACTTATGGCTTATGTAAAATGGTTAGGAATTTAGACTAATGGCATTTTCTTTGTCGAACAAGAATTAATCCCTGAGTACAGGGATTAATTTCACAGGGGCCTGCCAGGTCCCTCACTGTAGCAGGCGGGCCCCAATGTAATAAAAGAAAAAATCTGCGACGATCCTACAGTGTGTGTATCCTGGCAGGTCCCTGTACTTCAAGTAGGATTGATCGAACAATTCTTATGCGCCCCTATTAGTAGAGTGCTCGCCCTACGTGGCCCTATTTTTGTAACTAATCTCCTCTATCTACTTCATGGGCCCCATTTATCTTAGGAAATCACAATTGGTGATCAATCTACAAGCATAAGACTATTACCAAGAAAAATAAAATTTGTTGAATTATATATGCAAATAAATAATCTTAAAGATGAACTCTTCTTAATGTTCTTGCCGTTTAAGTGCAAAAAATCATTTCTACTAATACAAAGAGTAAGAGAACGTGTTATTCAAAATTGATGCTTTGATAGCAAATTGTAATTGAGAGATTTATTTTTTTGATTATGATCTTAAAGGCGATTTCATGAAGAGAATAAATGCACAAAAATTGGGAAGAGAAAACATCTTTGATTTCAACTTGTTGGCATGAGTATAAATATGGGGCCTTAAGCGACCGTCTAAATGAATTCATAGTTGATCTTGCTATGCTGATAAATATGTTAAGAAGACATCCAGCAAGTCAGTTGGTAAAATCTTTTGGAACCCAATATGATAAAATCTTTTGACTTCAATAAATTAAAAGTATGAATACTTGTAATTAGTACAAAATATACCATTTAATATCACCGTTGTCTGCTTCCCATTAATTCGTAGGTCGATACCAATATCGAGAGATAGAAGTCAGGAGATCGTGCGAATGAAATTAAATGTCCTAATAGTTCTAGCAGCAAACAATGGATGTTGGACGTTATATGTATTGATCCATGCATTGTTGTAGCTATCAAGCAAGTCTTCGAAACAATTTTTCATTGGGTTCCACAATTTAGGGCATCTAATAGAACTCAATTGTGTTATCAAGATATTTACATAACAATTTGCATTCACTAAGAACTAATTTAAACAAAACAACACAACAAAATCTTATTAAGAATCCCACTTTTTCCTTCTACATGTTCTTAGAAGTAATTCACACCAAAAGGAGCAACTTAAACTATTATCGAATTT